ATTAACATTCCAAAACAGAATAAGGAGATCACATCCATGTGACATGAAGTCAATCCTGAGCAGGTAAAGACCTTGGGCAGGTCTCCTTTCGTCAGTTCCCCCTGTTCACCTAGCAGTAAACAGGTACTTGGGTGTTAGGCCACTGTTCTGAGTGGCACTCTAGGAAGGGGGGAAAGTAGTAGTACACTTTAAATAGCGCTGAGCTTTGAAAAGAACCAAGATAGGATAACAGGTTCTAGCCCTTATAGTCAATTTTTCCCTACCAGGCAAAAGGCTCACTCAGGTTATTTAAACAAAATAGATTCACAAACCAAATATGGTTATGCTATGGATATTATGACAAGTACTTATTTTGCAATAAATTTTATGTTACTATTTTTGACATTGTTATCTATGCAGACAATATTGAAAGTGTTGGTGATTATTATTTTAAATTTATTATTATAAATAAAACTGACTACAGTAAACACTTGATATAATAAACTAATAAGGGTGATTTTCCAAGTGTTCATTATATCACAATATAGTAAAGAAATTAAAAAAAAAAATAGCAAAATATCAAAAAATAATTTAAGTACACTACTCTACTGTTTACCTATAGTACCGTACACATAATTTACACTTACATTGCAATAAACATTGAAAATAAAGGAATTAAAAGTACCAGTTACTCAACAGATTTTGTTCATTTTTTAAATGTTCCTTATATTAAGATTTTACTGACATACATCTACATCAACTTTGTAAATCAGCTTATGGTTACATACAATTTGGGGTATGAAAAAATCTGAAATCTACTGCCAACATGACTGACTGCTACCTATCAAAATAGCTTGGGGAAAATCAAATTTATTGTTAAACAATGTCTTACCAGAGTCAATGGTTAACAAAAGCAGTTACAAGCAGGCAATAATTAAAATAAGCAATTATAGACAGTCAATAATTAATTAATTATAAGCAATTAATGGTTGAATTAAGGAAGTATAGGCATTTATTAGTTGAATTAAAGAATTATAGGCAATCAATGATTACATTAAATAATTATAGGTTTAACACATTACCCACTATGTTTATTAATACTTTGTCTACAGTTAAATGTGAATTAAACAATATATAATTTAAAGAAAAGCTCAGAGTTTGTAATAGTCTTTAAACATTTAGGACAGGAAGAATAGTGTGATTACCCCTTGAGTGAAAACAGCCGGGTTGCCCTGCTCTAACATGTCTTCCAACTCGTCACTAGTCGTGTTGCGCCCAGCTGCACAATACAAGTGTGATGACAGTCAGATCCAGCACACAGGGTAAGGAAAATACAATAACATGGCATTAAAATAAAATACTTACAAGAAGTTATACATAGAATGAAATATATTATACAGTAGGCTCTTTTGTAAAAAACTGTTTAGTGTTATTTTTATGTAATGCAACTGAAAAACTGCACACAAAGTTGAATAGCATGTACTATGAAAGCCTCTCCATATACTTTTCAATTTCAGATGTACTTTTCAATTGCATTTACAAATAATCACACTGTGTAAAGGAGCTATATAAGAGAGGCTACCGTATGCTATACTAGACTACCAGTAATTATTTAGCATTTTTTAACATTCCGGCCATCCCCCATCGAGGTAGGGTGGCCCCTACAAAGAAGAAAACCCTTTTACTTTCACTCAAACAATATCTTGCCAGAAGCATGCTTACATTACATTATAGTTCAGAGGACCCTTCAAACTGCATTCGGTATGTACTCTCTCATATTCATAAAATAAAGATACTAGAGTCCCAACAAATTAACAAGTTGTTTCTGGTGTTCTATTATAAAAGACAGCTGTGTATGACACTAATAATGGTGGACTGGCATTTTAATATTTATAACTCAAGCATTCTTAAATTGGGGAGGACCTCATGTACCATCAGTCAAGTGAATTTTCTCAAATCTAAATATATTGAACACCCATGGTGATGTCACCATTGTTGTTCAATATATTTATAGATGGAGTAGTAAGAGAAGTGAATGCTTAGATCTTGGCAAGTGGTGTGGGGTTAAAAGACAAAGAATCTAACACAAAGTGGGAGTTGTCACAGTTGCTCTTTGCTGATGACACTGTGCTTTTTGGGAGATTCTGAAAAGAAGTTGCAGAGGTTGGCTGATGAGTTTGGTAGGGTATGTAAAAGAAGGAAGTTAAAAGTGAATACAGGAAAGAGTAAGGTGATGAGGATAACAAAAAAAATTAGGCAACGGAAGATTGAATATCAGATTGGAGGGAGAGAGTATGGAGAAGCTGAATGTGTTCAGATATTTGGGAGTGGATGTGTCAGCAGATGGGTCTATGAAGGATGAGGTGAATCAGAGAATTGACGAAGGGAAAAAGGTGAGTGGTGCACTGAGGAGTCTGTGGAGACAAAGAACTTTATCCATGAAAGCAAAGAGGGGAATGTATGAGAGTATAATTATACCAATGCTCTTGTATGGGTGTGAGGCATGGGTTGTAAATGTTGCAACAAGGAGAACGCTGGAGAAAGTGGAGGTATCATGTCTGAGGGCAATATGTGTGGTGTGAAAATAATGCAGAGAATCCATAGCTTGGAAATTAGGAGGAGGTATGCAATTACCAAATCTCTTATCCAGAGAGCTGAGGAGGGGTTATTGAGATGGTTTGGACATGTAGAGAGGAAGGAACAAAATAGAATGACATCTAAAGTATACAAATCTGTAGCGGAGGGAAGGCGGGGTAGGGGTCGGCCTAGGAAAGATTGGAGGGAGGGGGTAAAGGACGTTATGTGTGTGAGAGGCTTAGACTTCGAGCAAGCGTGCATGAGCATGTTAGACAGGAGCGAGTGCAGACAAATGGTTTTTAGGACTTGACGTGCTGTTGGAGTGTAAGCAAGATAACATTTATGAAGGTATTCAGGGAAACCGGCAGGCCGGACTTGAGTCCTGGAGATGGGAAGCACAGTGTCTGCACTCTGAAGGAGGGGTGTTAATGTTGCAGTTATATAACTAGTGTAGGCATGCCTCTGGCAAGACAGTGATGGAGTGAATGACAAAGCTTTTCTTTTTCGGGAAACAGCCGATGTGTTAATAAAAAACAAATTAAAATGACTATTTTTTGACTCACTACCTGCCAAAGCTATATCATCTTGCTTAACTCACACAAACAGTGCAGATAATTCATTATTTATTTATTTCATTTATTTATGTCTTTGCAAACAGTACATAGAGATTATGTATTTACAATAATGGGTTGCAATGCAATGAGAGCCTCTATTATGCCTAGGCATTATGGGCACATCTGGTTTAATACAAATTATATACTATAGCTTCTGGAAATAAACACTTTCATTTTGTATAAACTATTCTGGAGGACCCAGTCTTATGAACTGTGAAGTGTTGGTACTGTTCTCTTGTTCCAAATATTGAGGACTATGCAGCTTGTGTGTTTTCCAGAGACTGCACTTCACAATCTGATACACTTTTGAGAGATGGAAAATTATAGCTTTCTCTTCTGGCCATGCAACTGATACAGAATACAATAGTCACAAAAGAATACAATAGTCACAGTGCGGTCGCATCTACACATACATTCGGTACATTTCACATTATCCCAGTGTTTTTAGTGCTTGTAACTGCAAAATAAGTCACCATGGACCCCAAGAAAGCTTCTAGTGCCATCCCTGTGGTAAAAATGGCGAGAATTAGTATGGAATTGAAAAAAGAGATTAAGGAAATGTATGCAAAGTGGGTTGAAATGCAAACCTTTATGGATGAAAATCACCCTAACACAGCTATTGCAAGCCATGCTGGTGACTATTACAATGACAATGTTGTGGCCCATTTTAGGAAAATCTTAAAGGAATGCGAGGTACAGAGCTCTATGGACAGATTTGTTGTGCAACAGAGGTCCAGTGACTCTCAAGCTGGTCCTAGTGGTATTAAAAGAAGAAGGGAAGTAACCCCGGAAAAGGACTTGCTACCTCAAGTCCTAATGGAAGGGGATTCCCCTTCTAAACAATAACTTGCACACTCTCCCCTCCTCCCATCCCATCAATCATCACCAGATCTTCAATAAAGGTAAGTGTCATGTATTCTATTCTTAGTTGAGTAGTAATTGTGCATGTCTTCTTCAGTTTGTGTGTATTAAAATTAATATTTCATGTGGTAAAAAAAATATTTTATTCATACTTTGAGGGTGTCAGGAACGGATTAATTTGATTTCCATTATTTCTTATGGGGAAAATTAATTCGGCTAACAATAATTTCGGCTTACGATGAGCTCTCAGTAACAGATTAATATCGTAAGGCGGGGGTCCACTGTACATACAACCATATATGTACATACACACCCTTCTGGGTTTTCGTTTATTTCTTACTAGTTCTTGTTATTGTTTATTTCTTATCTCCATTGCGAAGTTGAACAGAATTCTTCCTCCGTAAGCCATGCGTGTTGTAAGAAACAACAAAAATGCCAGGAGCAAGGGGCTAGCAACCTCCTCTTCTGTATAAATTACTAAATTTAAAAAGAGAAACTTTCATTTGTCTTTTTGGGCCACCTTGCTTCAGTGGGATACAGCCGGTTTGTTGAAAGAAGAAAGAAGATATTTGATGAACTTTAAATCGGAATGGACACCAAATTAATTACAGCCTCTCCTCGCTTAGCAACGTACTCATTTACCGACAACTCGGACTTATGACCAGCTCTCTGACCAGTATGCATACCTAAATAAGGCATATTAGAACCGATTTCCTCTATTCTGCTTATTACAATACACAGTACACTACTGTATAAACATTTAAAAATAAACCAGAAATGTTATAAATGGTGCAAAGGTGACATTAAAACAATATCCAAGATGGTCAACACAAACCCACTACCATTATAGTATGCTCCTCACTTAGCAACGAATTCATTTACTGACATGGTCTTAGGAACGGAACTCCATTGTTAAGTGAGGAAAGGCTGTACTTCAAGATATGCTTGATCTTGAACTCTCGGCTGTTATTCCTAACACGACAATTGCAGTGCATATTTCTGTCAGTTTATTCTTCCTCCGTAAGCCGGGAGCAAGGGGCTAGTAACCCCTTCTCCTGTATATATTACTAAATTTAAAAGGAGAAACTTTCGTTTTTCCTTTTGGGCCACCCCACCTCAGTGGGATACGGCTGGTGCATTGAAAGAAGAAAGAAAGATTTCTGTCAGTTTACCAGTAGTATCTCTGACTTCACATGAGCTCAACTTTAATTTGCTGAATCAAGTGGACAATTATAACATGCCTAAAATGGGATAAGAAACTTTGAGCTTGCAATGCTGAACTTCAACCGTGACATTGCATGGAAGCTATCTTAACTCATATTATCAGTACCTTTGCAGAGAAGACAAGGAAAGCTTTAACCCTTTCAGGGTCGAGAGGCCCCTCTCCTAAACTTCTCAGAATCAAAAATGTTTCGGAAAAAAAAAAATCTTTCTTTCTTGTTGAAATGATAGAGAATCTTTTCCCGATCATAATGACACCAAAAGTTTGAAATTTGATGAAAAACTTATGGAATTATGCTCTCGCTAAGTTAACGGTCTCACCGATGTTTACGCATCGGCGATTTCATCCACTTTGAGCCCTATTTTCGGCCAATTCCTGTATACTAGTCGACAAAAATCATATTTATTTCGCTAGAACTCCATTTTTTCTGTCGAATGAATACAAGAAATCACCCATTTACCAATTTCAACTATCCAATAAAGTGGTTAGAAATTGGCAATTTTGCCAATTTCACACAAATTTCAGAAGATGCCAATTTCTAAATAGGGTCCAGAATAAACAAGACAGCCATTCCTGGCACTAAAATAACAAGTTTTCTGTTTGTTAGTCACATCCCCAGGCCCCTCTTATATTTCTTTTGCTTTCCACTTTGAATTTTTATATCACAAAAAAATAGAAGATTTACTGTTATGCAGACTACTGCATTAGTGTAGAAATGGTATAAATAATATCAGCGCACTTGTGAAAGAATATTAAACTCACCAGTTGATGTGTATTGGACGCTTGGCATGATTTGTTTACTTTTGAATTTTGGTAAAAATCGAACATTTCTGCTACTTTGAGCTCAGTTTCAAGGTACTGTTCATTGTGAAACCAATCAAAATCATCTCAATTTCTGTAATATGTCTTCCATTCTATAAAATGAGACCAGGAAAACTAGACTACAACCATAAATACCATACGAAAATACAGTGCTAAGTCGTTGTTTTAATCCAAAAACACAGTTTTTTTTTCTCATTATGCACTATGTGCTGCAGGATTTTTCTATACTGCACACACTGACCACATAAACCATTCTTTCATAAGTAGGCCTACCAGCTTTCTCTTGCTAGATTTGAAGGCGCTAGAATTTAGGCGTTCTAGTACGTCAATAACCCTGGTGCGTAAACCGTACTAGTACATCGAAAACCCTGAAAGGGTTAATTAACACCTTCATGCTAACGGTTTCGGAATTCTTGAGAAAAAAAAATAAAAATAGTAGAGAATTTTTTTATGAGGGTAAGGACTCCAAAAATATGAAATTTGATGGAAAACTTAATAGAACTAAGCAAGTGCAAAGTTACTCGTTTGGGCACAATTTGCGTCTTGGCAATTTTGCCCACTTTAAGTCCTATTCTAAGCCAATTCTGTTGCTCAATTCGACCAAACTCTAAGCAATTTTGCTAGAATGCCTTCTATTCTATCGAGCACAAGAAACTGCGCAGAAGTTGATAATTTTGCCAATTTTATACAAAATTAAAATAAAATCCATTTTAAAAACAGTCTAAAATAAACACCGGAGACATTCTAGGCACTAAAGCAATATATCCTCTGTTCTTTACTCATGTGTTCAAGTCTCTCCTATATTACACTTTTATAGAGGAATAAGTTTACTGAGTATACCAGGAAAAGTATACGGTAGGGTTATAATTGAAAGAATTAGAGGTAAGACAGAATGTAGGATTGTGGATGAGCAGGGAGGCTTCAGAGTGGGTAGGGGATGTGTAGATCAAGTGTTTACATTGAAGCATATATGTGAACAGTATTTAGGTAAAGGTAGGGAAATTTTTATTGCATTTATGGATTTAGAAAAGGCATATGATAGAGTGGATAGAGAAGCAATGTGGCAGATGTTGCAAGTATATGGAATAGGTGGTAAGTTACTAAATGCTGTTAAGAGTTTTCATGAGGATAGCGAGGCTCAGGTTAGGGTGTGTAGAAGAGAGGGAGAATACTTCCTGGTAAAAGTAGGTCTTAGACAGGGATGTGTAATGTCACCATGGTTGTTTAATATATTTATAGATGGGGTTGTAAAAGAAGTAAATGCTAGGGTGTTCGGGAGAGGGCTGGGATTAAATTATGGGGAATCAAATTCAAAATGGGAATTGACACAGTTACTTTTTGCTGATGATACTGTGCTTAAGGAAGATTCTAAAGAAAAATTGCAAAGGTTAGTGGATGAGTTTGGGAATGTGTGTAAACGTAGAAAGTTGAAAGTGAACATAGAAAAGAGTAAGGTGATGAGGGTATCAAATGATTTAGATAAAGAAAAATTGGATATCAAATTGGGGAGGAGGAGTATGGAAGAAGTGAATGTTTTCAGATACTTGGGAGTTGACGTGTCGGCAGATGGATTTATGAAGGATGAGGTTAATCATAGAATTGATGAAGGAAAAAAAGTGAGTGGTGCGTTGAGGTATATGTGGAGTCAAAAAACACTATCTATGGAGGCAAAGAAGGGAATGTATGAAAGTATAGTGGTACCAACACTCTTATATGGATGTGAAGCTTGGGTGGTAAATGCAGCAGCGAGGAGATGGTTGGAGGCAGTGGAGATGTCCTGTCTAAGGGTGGTGTAAATATTATGCAGAAAATTCGGAGTGTGGAAATTAGGAGAAGGTTTGGAGTTAATAAAAGCATTAGTCAGAGGGCAGAAGAGGGGTTGTTGAGGTGGTTTGATCATTTAGAGAGAATGGATCAAAGTAGAATGACATGGAAAGCATATAAATCTATAGGGGAAGGAAGGAGGGGTAGGGGTCGTCCTCGAAAGGGTTGGAGAGAGGGGGTAAAGGAGGTTTTGTGGGCGAGGGGCTTGGACTTCCAGCAAGTGTGCATGAGCATGTTAGATAGGAGTGAATGGAGACGAATGATACTTGGGACCTGACGATCTGTTGGAGTGTGAGCAGGGTAATATTTAGTGAAGGGATTCAGGGAAACCAGTTATTTTCATATAGTCGGACTTGAGTCCTGGAAATGGGAAGTACAATGCCTGCACTTTAAAGGAGGGGTTTGGGATATTGGCAGTTTGGAGGGATATGTTGTGTATCTTTATACGTATATGCTTCTAAACTGTTGTATTCTGAGCACCTCTGCAAAAACAGTGATAATGTGTGAGTGTGGTGAAACTGTTGAATGGTGATGAAAGCATTTTCTTTTTGGGGATTTTCTTTCTTTTTTGGGTCACCCTGCCTCGGTGGGAGACGGCCGACTTGTTAAAAAAAAAAAAAAAAATTAAAATTTTTTACCCTATTTCTTGTATAATAGAATATAACCAGGAATGAGTAATCATGGTTTACAGCATCCCAATAATTTAATCAGATCTAGTAAAAACCCTTAAAACAGATCAAGGAGTGTAGGAGGGGGCCATACCCATCCTCAGGAAAATCGTCAAAAATTTATTATTTCCACTACTTTCAGCCCAATTTCAGGATATTCCAGGTCCTGAAACCAATCAAAATGATCCTCACTCAGCAGTATATCTTTCAATCTATCAAAAGATACCAAGAAACAGCCAATAAAACCATAAAAACCATCCTAGAAAACATAGCAAATTCACTTATTTTAAACCAAATGCAAGGTCAGAGTTTTGCTTTTCCCATCATGCACCAGATGGGACATAATTATTTAATACTGTGCCCACTCACTACACAGCCCCATTCTCTTATGTCTATGCCAAAATTTACCAGCTATGCTACAAGTGCATGGAATGAAGTGCCCCATTCAACATTAAATACAGGCTGGGGAAAGTTATGGCATTCTGTAGTAAATTCTTTCACTGGTTTTCCCTTGCTTGAGAGTCAGATTAAGGAATTTGTTCAGCTGGCAAGGAGATTACCAGGTGATGACTTTGAAGATATGAAGGAAGATGATTTGAATGAGCTCTTAGAAGATGATGAAGACAAGAGTCCAGAGGAAATGTTGGCACAGCTCAATGCACAGATACAAGGGAGCCAGATAACAGAAGAACAACCACCACCTCAAGAAAAACAGTTAACATTGCAGCAGTTAGGTGAGCAGTTCCATGTTGCTGCTAAATTAGCTCACTTTTTCACTGAGGAGGACCCTGACAAATCTAGAAGCAGTGCTTTGAAATGGGGTCTAGAGCAACTGTTGATACCTTACCATCAGCGGTATAATGTACTGCAGGGTAAAAGAAGCCAGATATCCATTACAGAATTTATGCACACTCCAATGTAGAACCATTGACTTTAGTACCAGAACCTCAACCATCCACCTCTGCTGACAACGAACAATCATCCAACTCAGCCCAGTAGGGCCACACCATGCATCTCCACTCTCTTTACAATCACTGACATACACCAGCACCACAATTTAAGGTAAATATTATTATTTATGTTGCATTTGTAATCTTAAACAACAAAAACAACATTATCATTTTTATTTTTATAAGATCTGGTTGTCTAAAAATAAAAGTTGTTTGGCTTTTTGGGGATGTCCCAGGAATGTAACCCTATTTTTCCTATAAGTTCTTCAGTTTATCTCACCTGGATTTATCTAACACAGCATTTTCAGGTATGTAACTACAGTGTAATATAAGGGTCTAATGTACTTAATTTTGTTATACAAAAAATAATCACTTACTAATTTCGAGCTGTCTCTGTATCCTGCCCTTGCATCGTTCACGGTAGTCTGTCTGTGTTCGGTTGTACTCAGTCATCACCTCAACGAACTTGCGACTCAATGTCGAGTGTTGCGTCTTCTTTATCCTTAAATCCGCACTTGCCTTACTCACGTGTTCTTCTGACTCGATGTTTTGTTCGATTACTGCCAATGGAGGAAAGACAATGTCACAAAAAATGTTAGTAATATGTTAGAATTTTTTTGACAGAGAAAAATAATTAAAATGGAAAAATTTACATAAATGTAAGAAAACCTATTTATTAAGAAATAGGAAAAAATAACGTTTAGAAAATGTTAGGTTTTGAGATAAAATTAAGAAAAATTAAAAATTTTTTTTAGATTTATAAAATTACAAAAATGTGTGCAATGATTTTTATTAGAAAACTGTTAGACAACAAAACATAAGTTCTGATGCTCTTTTTTAAACCAAATTAAAAGTCATCAGTCATTTGATTAATGTCGTACAGGAAGGCCCTGTTTTACAGCACTTCACTTTATGGCGGTTTTCAATTAAACTCATTCATTTATATTCACTCACTATAAGCTAAGGATGAAAATATTTTCAAGTAATGTGTGTTCTGTGTATGCATTTTTTAGGCCTAGCTCTATTGCTCACTTAATATATGATAGTGTAAACATATCAAGCTTTTACATTCATTTGAAAGTGAAAATATAGCCTTTTTTCAATTTCAAATGCATATATAAGCTTGATAACATGTTTACACTATCATATATCAAGTGAGCAATAAAGCTAGGCCTAAAAAATGCATATACAGTACACAAATTACTTACTGTAAATTACTGTTAATTATGTCACTTTGTACCATGTATCAGTGTGTCACCTTGTACCATGTGTGTACCAATGTGTCATCTTGTACCATGTGTGTACCAATGTGTCACCTTGTACCACATGTGTACCAATGTGTCACTTTGTACCATGTGTGTACCAGTGTGTCACCTTGTACCATGTGTGTACCAATGTGTCACCTTGTACCATGTGTGTACCAATGTGTCACCTTGTACCATTTGTGGACCAGTCACCTTGTACCATGTGTGGTTCAGTGTGTCGCCTTGTACCATGTGTGTATGTGTCACCTTGTACCATGTGTGTTTCAGTGTGTCACCTTGTACCATGTGTGTGTGTGTGTGTATCAGTGTCACCTTGTATCATGTGTGTTTCAGTGTGTCACCTTGTACCATGTGTGTACCAGTGTTACCTTGTACCATGTGTGTACCAATGTCACCTTGTACCATGTACCAGTGTCACCTTGTACCCTGTGTGTACCTGTGTGTCATTTTGTACTGTATGTACCTGTCACTTTGTATTGTGGTGCACATATGTCACCAAGTACCACTGCACCATAATAACTTCCAATGCAAAAGAATAATTTTAACTTCCACTGGCTTACAGTAACTTATATTTGCCTACAATAACTTCCACTCGCCTAAAATACTTTCTAACGAAAACTCCTACTGCACTATAACAACTTCCACATCACTATAATAACTCCCACTGCACTATAATAACTTCCACAGCAACATAATAGGTACTAATGTAAAATAACATCCACAGTAACAAAATTTTTCACTGTAAGTTTCATTAGAAGTTATTATTCCTATAATTACGAACATGTGTTAAGTCTGTGACGTAGTTGATGCTGAATCAAGTAAGGATTATAACTAATGATATAATAATCGTTGCTCTATGAACAATACACTTAGTATTTTAATAACAATTATAATAAACTAGTACTTGTACTACCATTACTACTAATAATAATTACTATTAATAATAAGGGTAATAATAATAATAGAGGAAGATAAGGAAGGCAGAATATAAATAATTATAATATGCTAGTACTACTACTAATAATAGTAATAAATAACAATAACTACTAATAATAATAACTAACACTAATACGAATAATAATAAAGAAGGATAAAGGATGCAGAACAAGGGTAAGAGTGAGGCAGCTATACCTTTGAGTTTTGCCCTGACTCTGTTGGCAGTCTTCTTTATGTCTGTCATCATGTCGTCCAGCTCCTGTTTCACCTCTGTAACACAAACAGAACCGTTATTACTGTTGATATATTACACCTTAACAGAATTTTTTTTCTCAGTCATGTTTGAAGCTTTAAAAAATCACGAAATTTTAACATTAAATAAATATATCAGAAGTTGTGTAAATTTGTGTACATACACTCAAATCTGTTACCAAGGTGTATTGTGTATTAGGTAAATGTTTTAAATTGCATGAATCTCTGACAAACTGTGTAGGACGTCTGCAACCATAATTCAGTGTTTGTGTAAATAAATGGATAAAACTATATAAATAGCCACATTCATCAGGGGATTTAAGTTTTAATATTAGTTCAGGGAGGGCTTAAAATCATAATTATATAAAATACCAGAATTACTGGGGCATTTTGGAATATTAATATCAAATTGTTTTCTAGATCGTGGGTTATTAATGGAATTGCTTTTGGGTTGGCAGAGAGCGAGCGCCAATGTTGATTCATACAAGCTGTGGTGAGGGTTGCTAATTTACTGTAGCTCACCTTATTTGGCCAGCACGTGTCAACGTCTGAAGTGTTTAGCTCACACCATAAAATACCTGCCTGGCGCTGCTATCTGAGCAGCGCAGAAGCAACTTGAGAGCTATTTAACTGAAGTAACAGACCCGTCTCTAGGCCACTTTGTGAGAGGAATGGAGAGGATAATTTATGGGGATATCCTGTATCAGGCTAACTTATTTCTTGAATTATGTTCTCCTATGACAACCAAAAATTGAGTGAATATGACGAACTCCTGAGATTAACACTCAGGAAACACTAAATCTGTCACTGGAATATCAATAATTCTACATTCTTATGTCCCTGTATTGATAAAGCCACTGGTTGGCAAAACGTCTACAAATAAAGATACCCATATGTTTCATGTGTAATTCTTCATCTTGTCGGTACTGTACACTATTCATATACAACTAATGAGGTCAAGCAACACTTTCAGTCACTATGAGGCCAAAAGAAGTTCGCAAGATAATAGATGGCATCTCCCGTATTTCTTTGTGTATTACATTCAACGAACTAGTGAGGGAGATAGTCCGAGCATGACTGAAAAGTTCTGTAGGAATTTATGATCTACAGTTTATCTAAGCAGCCAAGAAGTGGAATATCCTTGCCAACTCTTCAAGCAAACCAGCTCTTAAAATTTAAATCAATTCTACTGGAGAGAAAATCACTAGATAATGCCTCAAAAAAGGACAAAGCTTGCAACCTAGCATTAAGAGCAACACGTGCTGGGGACTTCCTCTTATCTGTCCCTAAGGTATCCTTTGTCACCCACAGTGACACCCAGACCATTCACATCGAAGTAGCTCTTCCCTAGCTGCCCCAATCTCTCCAAACACGTGTATCTGTGGTAATGCGTCAGCAGACTGATGTGTGCTCCATTGTTTGTCTCACCAGGAGATCACGTATAAGTAGCATGAGAGTGAAAGAATGCTGGACCCAAGGATGCCAACAATGTCACTAAGCCAAGTCTTGCCACAACCTACTGACCCCTCAGTCAGAACGGGAACCTTAGCTAACTAAGCCTGATGGTAAACAAAAGTATGCAGATAGTCACCATGCTACCCTAGAAACATGGTAAGCTGACAGCATGGAACTACACCTGTGTATATACATGTCGAACACCTACCTACAATACAGTAAAGCAGGTGCGCTTCTGCCAACTTTGGGTAGACCAAAAAGATCAACAAATACTGGTGCCAGGTAGCATGATCTAACTTCGTTCAAATATTATCAAAGACACTTGGGGCATTAGGCAAGTGCGCACTCAGCTTTCTGAAGATAACAGGAACCCAGAACGACCACCTTTCTTTCCCAGACTCTGTGTTGCGATGCAGAGAAAGGCTTGTAGTAACCCGGGCAAAAGTTGCTACAGGCATCCTGTTAAGAGGGATGCTTGGGAGCTAGATGAAGTGTTCAAAATATAGGCTTTATGTTATACGTGTTAATCTAATTCCTCAATGTATCTTATTTCTACATTTAACAGCCCTGACAATGGATTGGAAGCAGATCCTAAAGGCGATGACTCTGGAACAGTTCGTCAAGACAACAGAGGATGGAAAGCATTTGTATAAAGCAAGAAGCTGAGCTTCTCCCTCTGTGTCGTAGTTCAAAAGGGTGACAAGAATGCCATCCAAGTTACAGGAGGCAATCAAGATCGGCAGCAGTACGAGCGTGAACCAATCAAACACTTGCACTGCTGCTCTTAAGGAATGAATCCTCATGGATGGTGCGAGTGTGCGAGACTAGGTGTTGAACACCAATGCTTCCAACACTGGTCTGCCCAAGGAAGCTTCCAAGAAAATACAGGCTGCCATCACTTGGAAGATAATCTGGATTACTTGTAGTCACAGTGTCTCAGAAAACGCAGGAAAGCATTAAATCGCCGAAAAGCAGAGGGGAAACATTAAGAGGCCAAAATGGGCAGCACAAGTTCACCGAGTGTTTACAACAATGAGTAGAAAACTAACTAAGAACATGCAAGAAAGTCATTAATACTTGAGGGATGGAGAAACATTAAAAGGACATTCCGAGCGGAAAAAACTGGTTAAATTTTTTTTTACCAACATCAGCGTGAAATTAAATCCCTAGCAACTCTTAGGAGAAACAGAACAGGTGGGTAAAACGCCTAGAGTACTTAATTACAAACACTAGAGCATAAACATGAAAACACGCGAAATAATTAAAACTCCCATATTAACTTGTTGACATTGTACCATTTATCTAGTTAGGTTAGGTAAGATCGTCATTAAACAGAATTGTTTGCTGACACGAGCATTAAGAAGTCATGACGAGACCTGCTAAGGAGCTTTTGGTCATCTGACCAAGGTCTTCCACTGGCTTACTCCTCCACCCATTTAAAAAAATAATAATATAAATCTAGTGATGGTACTCACTCTCGTCCGTCTGCGGTGCGGAGAGAATCTCACTATGTTTCTTCTTAACTTCTTCCACATTGTTCTGTATCTTTTCTATCATCTCTCGTATCTCCTCCACCTGTTGGCACAACAAACTCAATTAATACTACAAAATAAATATTTGACGAGGCTACATGACCAGTTCAGAAAAACTGTTGATTTATTCTACGATAAGTATACTATTAATGTTAATACTATTAGCAGTGGTACTAGTACTATTAGTAGTACTACTAATAGTAGTGCTGTATGACCCTAGTAGGTTTAGTGCTTCTTTTTGATAATAATACTAATAGTAGTATTAATACTATCAGTAGTACTGTTAGTGGTGGTGGTAGTAGTAGCTGTGGTGGTGGTAGTAGTAGCTGTGGTGGTGGTGGTAGTAGTAGCTGTGGTGGTGGTAGTAGTTGCTGTGGTGGTGGTGGTAGTAGTTGCTGTGGTGGTGGTGGTAGTAGCTGTGGTGGTGGTAGTAGTAACTGTGGTGGTGGTAGTAGTAGTAGCTGTGGTGGTAGTAGTAGTAGCTGTGGTGGTGGTAGTAGTAGCTGTGGTGGTGGTGGTAGTAGTAGCTGTGGTGGTGGCAGTAGTAGCTGTGGTGGTGGTGGTTGTAGTAGGCAGTGGTAGAGCTGATAATGTTTCTAGTATTAACAGAACTATAGTAATACAATTATTATTAGCATTAAAAACATAAGTATTAATATCACTAGATTATGGTCTTTTAAAAACTGTCATTGAGGTCTAGATCAATGTATACCAGACGATGCCTGCTGAACAATATGCTAAACATAATGAACATTGACAATATGCTGAACATTATGAACACTATGCTAAAAGCTACAACTTGCTGAATTTTAAACAGTGCTTAATTTATCATAAATGGCAACAAATAGTGAATTGTATACAATAACTAATATATACAATAACTATTGTCTCCCTGACTATGGCTTACAAGTGTGTTAACTGTATAATACATTACATTCATGGGGCCAGAGGTAGCGCTAAACACACACGGGTCATACAGCACCTGGGGGGAGGGGGATGAGAGGTAATCAGGTTCGATCAAACAGAGGACGGGTTTAATTCCTTGGATGAAGAGCCCCTCACTGGCGTCAATGCACCTCCCTTGAGAGGGACACTCAGTGGTGGTAGTGACCTCAGCTCACATACTGAGGATCAGTGGGCATGTTTCCTGCTGTCCCTGTTCACCTAGCATTAAGTAGCTACCTGGGCGTTAGTCGACTTTAGTGGGTCGCATCCTGGGGGTGGTAGTATACCTTAGATAGGGCTCTGAAATGAGCTGAGGTAGGATAACAGCTCTTAGCCTGCAAATTAACCTATGAGAAACTATGTAACAGACGTCAAAATATGACTGATGTTTTACTCATAACTAGCAGTCTTGTTGTACCTGAGATATATAAGGTATACCTGTGACTGGTACTGATAGGTCTTCTACCCTCCTCCTCCTGTAACACAGCCTGCAGCAAATCTTCCCTGCTGACCGCTTGGTAAACCAGGCTGTTAGTGCTAGTACCCAGCAGGCTTGTATAGCCATCACAGCCCGGTTGATCAGATACATGTGGGAGATACTGTTCAACAATTTTATTCAAGCATTCAATTGCTCTAAAACAATTAAGATTTTTTCAGACTTCCTAAATAAAAACAAGCATGATAAAATTGTCTTATGAAATCAGAACCAGAAAAATATTCTGAGCTTGGGTTCAAAAAAATATTTAATTTATTTTTCTGAAAATGTTAGATATTAAAAGTTCCCGGTATCTTGAGCACAAAGGCTAAAAACCTCAGTCCTGGATAATATATAATATGCTGGCATGGCCGTCATTGTAGGAATGAATTTATTCACTTTTAAATACGGTGCCTGCACTCTGAGGGAGGTTTAGCAAGACAGCTATTTCAGAATGATAATATATACCTCTTACAGTTTTCGAGTTTTTCTATTCTCGCAGCCCGGCCTGGGACACGGCTTCTCTGTCGATTGCCTCATCAACCAGGTTGTTGATGTTGGCGGCCTGCGGGCCCACATAACCATTTAGTGTGACTGAGTTAGCACTTGGCAGATCACTCAACATTTCTGATATCCGCTGATTATCTTTAACGAGATTTAGGCCCACCAGGAGCTTTGTAAATCTAATACAGAGACATGAGAACACAGCCTTTTATTGAAGTCAGTAAAAGGGAAGCATGGGTTAAGGGCAGGTCGCTCCTGTCTTTAACAACTGCTAGATCATTGCAATGCTGTCTTGGATGCTCTGTGACACAAGCTATATGCTCACGCAGTATACAGTGATTTCTCAAAAGCGTTCGAGAATGCGACCATGATGTAATTGTGCACAAAATGCGTGCAAAGTGAATAACTGGAAAAGCTGGTAAATGAATGTTTAACTTGTTAATAAAGAGAACCAATAGCAGTAGTAAACAGAGTGAAGTCGGAGGCTGCCACAGTGAAAAGCTCTGTTCAAGGCACGATACTCACCCATTACTTCTGTTTCTCATTCTTATATCCAACGTTGACAAGAACATATATCACGGTACCGTAGCATCCTTTGTTGATGACAGCAGAATCTTTTTGGGAGTGGCGTCTCTGGAAGATAGCTAATCTTCATGCGGATATAAATCAAATCTTCCAGTGAGACTCTTACAACACGATGTCTAACAAGAAAAATTATCAATTTGCTCCGCTAGGGAATAATGCAGAAATTGAAGACTCTAACGGAGGACAGGAAAAACTCAAATCACTCAATGGATCGAAAGTTTCATGTGCGAGACTTGGAAGTAATAATATCTGAATATGTCACAATCAATGATGACAACAATGTTACTTTTGCTTCAGCAAGAAAAAATATACGTTGGATAACTAGAACTTTCAAGACAAGAGATCCAGAGCAATGATGGAACTCTTTAAGTCATTTGTTCTCTCCAGGCTAGAATACTGCTGTACACGAGACTGCTGAGCTGGAAAACGTAGAGAACTTTCACTGCTCATATACATTCAAAACATCTGAACTACTAGGAACACCCACCGTCTCTCCAATTGTATTCTGCGGAACGTATGCGAGAAAGGTACATATGGCAACAAGATACTTGGCGGACTGTACAAAATACCTCCACTAAAAAACATAGTCACGAAAAGTACACTGCAAGAGAACTCGACGAGTGTCAGAGGTCCCCGATTCTTTAACGCCCTCCCGCTGTGCATGAGGGAAATTCCCAACAAACTTCTGACTATCTTCAAGAGGATACAAGTTCAGATCAGTGCCTGACCAACGGGTCTGTAGTTCATACGTTCGACTGCGTGCGCCAGCGAGCAGTCTAACGCCAGGCCTTCATCTCCTAAAAGGCCTGGTCTGGGACCGAGCCATGGGGGCATCCGTCAGGTATCCTGCAGGAGCTATAGAACATTACCACCAACTCCATCGATCGCAGCTATAAGAGTAACCATTAGATTTCTCGTAGGAAACTAGAGGATGTCTCTGCAACTTGCTTGCTAAATCTCTGGCTCAATAGTGGATCCCACTCACATGTGACCACGTCTACTAACTACTGCATCTCTCCACTGACCACTTCAAAAGGCTCCTTTCTCATGGCTTTATTAGACTGAGAAAGACCCTGGTGAGAGAAACGTTTCTCAAAAGATTCCCAGGTGTTGCACGTGTCTCATTCATCTACAAATAATGGTAATGCCTGAAATGATTATTTAATCTTGTAAAACTGCATGTTGACAGCATATGTGAGTCAGTCAGCCGGAAAAAACTACGGACACGCCCACACGTTCACACCACTAACACAAGTCAGTGCACCATAACACGATTACCAGGGAAGGAACAGAGAGAGAGCAGAGAGGGAGAGAACAGAGAGAGAGAGAGAGAGAGACGAGAGACAGAGAAGAGGACAGAGAGAGACAGAGAGAGACAGAGAGAGACAGAGAGAGACAGAGAGAGACAGAGAGAGACAGAGAGAGACAGAGACAGAGAGACAGAGAGAGACAGAGAGAGACAGAGAGAGAGAGACAGAGACAGATAGAGACAGACAGAGAGAGACAGAGACAGAGAGAGAGAGACGGGGGCTTCTGAGCTGGAGAATGCACAGAGATCGTCTACTGCCTGTATAAAGGCAATACAGCACATAAATAATGGGAACACCTCAAGGTACTTGGAATGTACTCTATAGAGTAACTATGAAATACCTGATAATACATATCTGGAAAATATTGGAGGACAAAGCTGCAAATCAACACACTTCCATAACTTCCTTGAGTGAAAGATATGGAAATAAGTGTAGAATAAATGCAGTGAAATGCAAGGGCGTCATAGCCACAATAACAGAACACTGAACCAACATCTGTGACTCAAGACTGTCAACTTGCTACCAGCAGATATCAGAAATGCTGCTGTAACACGTCTTTAAGAGGAATCTGCTTCACTACCTCCGCCAAGTGCTAGATGAAAGAGGCTGTGAGCTGTGTGGGCCAACGGGCAGAAACCGGTTACAGGTAAAAACTCTAAATCGGTCAAAAGTAAATCGCAGGTAAAACCATTGAAACCGACCAAAGAAATTTCTTAATAGTGCACACATTTCCTCTCCTATTACAGTAGTTGTGTTCTCGTTGTTCATTATTTGTATTTTGACTTTCACATTTAATATACTTTTTTACCAGCGTGAATAAAAAAATATCAGTCTTGCTTTTGTTTATTACAACTGTTTTAAAGTGTTTCGTAATTGCTTACAATATATATTATATATATATATATATATTATATATATATAATATATATATATATATATATATATATATATATATATATATATATATATATATATATATATATATATATATATATATGTCGTGCCGAATAAGTAAAATTGGTCAATTAGCAAGAACTCATTTAAAATTATGTCCTTTCTAAAATTTTCTCTTATACGTTTCAAGATGTATTTTTCTCATTTATGTTAATGTAAAAAATAATAATTTTGTACCAAAAGAACCTTAGAAAACTTACCAAACCTTATCATAACAAGCACAATTTAATTTAGCCTAATCCAACTAAACATATTTTATATAGGTTTAAA